AATTTTTTTTATTAATAAAACTCTTAATACTTTTGATTTTATTCAAAACAATTATTTAATATTGAAAGTATTTATTCTTCGCTTCGTCTCAATAATTTGTTATCGATAATTTCAAATTTTTATTACCGGAAGTATAAGGTTATACTTTAATAGGTTATACGATAATTTGCATGCCTACAATATCAATTACATAGCAACAATATCAGAAACAACGAAATCTACGTGACATTTGTTCCAGTTATCGAAGATCAATGAAGATAATGACCACGCGGTCGAAGATCAAATTAAGGTGAATTTTTCATGAATTGTATTGAGAAATTAACTGTAAATGTAGTTTACACATTATTCAGTTATCCTGGAGCAACGATATTTCAAGTACAATTTGATCTTTAGTAATCTGACATCCAAAATGTTTATCGAAACGCCCATCAATGATTCATTGTGAATTTTTCTTTACCTACCAGTATGTTTGCCATATATATCTTCGCAAAGGTCGTAAACGGTTAATTATCGAATCTAATAATGCGTTTTCAGCCTAGAGCAGGTGTAATTTTATCAACTGCTAACGGTTGTTTCATATGATTATGCTCAGTTTAGACAGGTTTACTTTATACAATCGTTCTCAATTATATACTTAAGCATGCATCTAATTGTCCAATAAGTTTACGATTATGCTTTCGGGATATTTCACCGTTATAAAATCGGACAGTGTTTTAGATGTTTAATCAATAATAAATATCATGTACAAGAAACTTCTAAATATAAAATATTTTCTCGATTTTTATTATCTTGTTAAACAATTTTTTTAGATCATAAATATTCTTAGAAAAAATTGAGTACCTAAGGAACACACCAAGTCAAGAGAAAGTCAAAATAATTTTGACGTCATAAAAGTTAAGAAGATAATTTTTCATTACAAAATATGAATGTTTATTAATGTTAAGAATAAAGTTATTTTGATTTTTTGTTAACTTTTACATGTTCTTAGGGTAAATATTGAATATATTAAAATGATACATATTTTTTTTCATTTTTATATCATACAATACAATTAGCTTCAATACAAATTTACTGTATACAAATATATCTATAAAACACTGATAAACAATGATATCTGATAAAGTCACTTGCGTGACTCGAACTATCGATAATAAAAATTTCGAGGGGCATTAAACAGGTTGTTAAATATACTTTACGATAAGAGCTAATCTCGATGTTGATACACTTAACAACATTTCCCTTTTGATGATCGACAGGCGTAACGTGATTTTTACGCATCGTCGGTGAGAACATCGACACGCTAAGTGAAACAGTGCACACAATTAGCTTGATTATTCTGAACTGATTATCATTCGACATTCCATTACATTATGGTCGCTAACCGCGTGACCATACGTATGTAACAACGCGACAATCGTCGTGACTATGAGAGACATATCATAATTGGCGAATTATATCTTCGTTTCTACTTATCGCGATGCAATCGCCGTGATGACTTTAATGCGTGGAACAAAGATACAACTTCGATGCATGTAGAATGAATGGCACGTATAGAATGAATGACGACATCAATACGTGAAACGAATGGCAGATCGATGCGAACAACTTTGATATGATTTGTCGCGCTCCGCAAGATGTGAAATGATCAACTCAAAAGTCAAGAGTTTCAAGTTCAAGTCTTATCAGATATAAAATAATTTTGCAGATGCAATTTAAATTGTGTATTGTGATTAAGTAAAACAGAAGATTTTTAGAAAACATTGACTCATTCATCTCTTAAGGAGAATATTATTTAGAAGAATAAAAAGATAATAAGTATATAGAAAGTGATTATAAAAACTAATTAATAAAAACTATCTAGAGGTTAGATACAGAATCTTAAAATAAAAAATTTTTTACGGTTCACGAATTGATAGAAAAAAAAACGACAATAAAATAAAAAAGATAGACTTTTTATTTTATTTTTTTATTTGCTATTTATTTGCACTCATTGCGTCTAGTCTAGAATAAACTATTACTCATTTAATTTTTTATGTCTACATGTAGCTAATTTTTTTATATATATTACTAGAAGAAGTAAACTATTATATTAGCGATTAACAACTGACTAAAAAAAAAAAAACTAAACAACAATTGTGACACCACATTTCTATTTCATGATTAAATAAGCATGAGATTCAATTTATCCTTGGTTATAAATTATTAATTTTTTTTGACATTAACTTCTTATCCTGATACTATTGTTGATGTTGTTTGTCTATTGCATCCACGATGAAAAGGAATGGATTCCTTCATACAGGGTAGACTTCGTTATTTTTCAGAAATTTATCGATAAACGATCATGTTCAAATTAAAACTTACGGATCCCTGAAACATGGCACACACTATTATCATCAAGACCAAGAACACGACTGATATTCTCATATTGCAATCTTGAGCTACTGTTTAATCTGAACGTTTATATCGCGTCACGTCATAGTAGCAATATTTATACTGCGCCGAATAATGATCTATTTGTTAAGGATTGACAATGATAAATGACACACACCTGTTTTGTTATCTGTGTAGCCTATTATGTTCCTTTATAACAAAAATAATTATTTTACAAAACATGGATATATATATTCCGCATTCTTTTAAGCAGGTGTCGCTGATAAGAGGTTGTTATCATGTATGCAGGCGAAAATGACGTCTGACAAGTACATTCAAACAAATTCCGATCCAATAGAAAAAAAAATATGATAATTAAAATTTTACGTATCATACGTATACAACAAAGTGACAATCGTCGTGACTGTGAGAGATACGTGTCATAATTGGCAAATTATACTTCGCTTCTGCAGAAAACTACTTCTCTCTACTTCGCTTATCGCGATGCAATCATCATGATAATTTTGATGCGTAGAACGAAGCTGCAACTTCGATGTGTACAGAACGAACAACGCAGATGACATCAATGCATGGAATGAATGGCGTATCAGCGCGGACAACTTCGTGGTGCAATATGTAAGATGACCAACTCAAAAGTCAAGAATTTCAGATTCAAGTCCTACCAGATATAAAATAATTTTTCAGATACAATTTAAATTGGGTATTGTAATTAAGTAATACATAAAATTTTTAGGATCAGAAAATACTGATCCATTCATTTCTTAAAAAGAATATTCTTAAGAATTTCTTAAGAAGAATAAAAAGAGATAATAAGTACATAGAAAGTTTGATTAATAAAAATTATCAAGAGATTAGATATTCCTGATATAGAATCGTGAGTTTAAAAAACTGTCTAGGGATTTGATAGAAAAATAAAATGACAATAAAAAAATAAATGTTTTGTTTTATTTTTTATTTTATTATTTATTTGCACTCGCTGTGTTTAGTTTAGGGTAGACTACTACCCGTCCAATTTTTTTATCTTTATCTTTAGCTAATTTTTAAATGTAATTATTAAAAGAAGTGAGCGTTATATTATTGATTCACCAATTGACTAAAACAAAAACTAGACAACAGCTATGTAAGACACAACATTTCTATTTCATGATTAAATAAGCATAAGGTTCAATTTATCTCTAGTTATGGAATAACATCCTTTCTCCCGATTTTCCCCATTTTCTGATAACTGCGTTGTTGTTGTTCTTGCTGTTATTCTTGTTCTCTATTGCGTCCAATAATAAAAAAGAGAATCCTTCGCATAGAGTAGAACTTCGTTATTCTTCCAAGATCAAGAATACCACTGATATTCTCATATTGCAATCTAGCGCTACTACTGCTTGATTTGAACATTTACATCGCGTCACATTATAATAATAATATTTATATTGCGCCGAATAATAATCTATTTATTAAGGATTAATGGCAATGATAAATAGCACATCTGTTTTGTCATTTATGTAATCTGTTATCAATTATCTTCTTTTACAACAATATAATATATTAAATATTTTACAAGACATGAATATGTTCCGTATTCTTTCAGACGCTAATAAGAAATTGTTATCATGATAGAGGCGAAAGTGACGCCCGACAAGCATATTCAAACGAATTCGGATGTAATAGAAAAAAACATGATAATTAAAAACTCTGCGTATTATATCTATATGTAGCAACGTGACAATCGTCGTGATTATGAGAGATACGTGTCATAATCGGTGAATTATATATTCGCCTCTGCTTATCGTGATGCAATCGCCGGATGCTTAGAACGAACGCCGCGTCAAAAATCATGAGTTTCAAGTTTAAAACTTACCATATATAAAATAATTTTCCAGATACAATTGAAATTGTACATTGTGATCAAGAGCAGAAGGTTTTTAAGAACAGCAAATATTGACTTAAGAATATTCATCTCTTAAGAAGAATAAAATAAAGATAACAATATAGAAAATCTAATATATAGAAAATAATATATAGAAAATCTAATTAATAAAAACTATCTAGAAGCTGAATATTCTTGATACAGAATTCTGAATTAACTGTAGGGATTTGGCAGAAAAAGATAATAAAAAGATAAATGTTTTATTTTATCTTATTTTTTATTTGCTATTTTTATTTGCATTCGCTGTGTTCAGTCTAGAGTGGACTACTATTAATTTCATTTTTTGTCCTTTAGCTAATTTTTTGGTATAGATACTACTAGATAAAGTGAGCGTTACATTACCAATTAACTAAAGAACTAGACAATAGCTATGTGAGACACAACTTTCCTATTCTATGATTAAACAGACATAAGATTCAATTTATTCCAAATATATTGTGCCTGGGCCAAAACCTATGATGTTGCTGCTGTTGTTGTTGTTGTTGTTGTTGTGGTTCGTCTACGTCCACCTCTTCCACAAGGAAGAGATTCCTTCGTACAGAGTACAACTTCGTTATTTTTCAGAAATTTATCGATAAACAATTATATTTAAATTAAGACTTACAGATCCCTGGAACATTGCACACACTACTATCATCAAGACCAAGAACATCATTGATATTCTCATATTGTACTACTCTTATATTGCTAATGGTTGCACTGTAAATGTCACCTAGCGTTACGTCGTAGCAATATTTATACTGCCCCGGTAGAATAACGATCTATTTATTAAGGCTTGACAATAAATAATGGTACACGTATTTTTTTATCATTTGTACCATATATAGCTCATTGTCAATTATGTTCCTTTATTACAAAAATAATTATTTTTCAAAATGGGTATGCCGCGGTCTTTCAAGCATATGTTGTTGATGAGAGATTGTTATCATGCGGAAATAATGTCCGACAAACATATTCAAATAAATTCCGGTGTTAATAAAAAAATGATAATCAAAATTCTACGTACCATACGTATGTAGCAACGCGATAACTATTGTGCGTATGACTGTAAAGAATACATATCATAATCGACAAATTAGGCAAAAGCTTAAGCAGTAAGATGTAAGCAGTATAATTAACCATTTCATTTTAGAGACCGTTAAACTGTAAGCATCAATATGACTTCCTTACTGCTTAAATTTTTTGTGTGCCATAGCCCTTATACTGTCAGCTCTGCTTTTCGCGATACAATCTCCGAAATGAGTTCATGTGAAACGAAATTGCAGCGCGAACAACATAGAAAAATAGATGCGCTTAGAACAAATGGCTTCAATGCGTAGCACGAACGGCGCGCGCGGGCGTAGGTAACTTCAATGTGTGAACATAGACGGCTTCTGTAAATCGTGTCATAGAAGAAAACGATAATTTCAACCAAACTTTTAAACGTTTGTAAAAAATTTCAAATGGAAAACACGCTATAAAACATGCCTATAATTTTTTGAAAAAGTTTTTTTTTTAAATTACATTATGGAAACTCATGTGATATGATTTAATTAAGATTCGCTTTTAATCTGAGAGATTATTTACTTTGAAATAATAGAGTTTCTTCGAACAAAATGTCATAATAAAATGTTTTTATGTAATTTTGGATGTTAGAAATGAAATAATACATCTTCTCACATAAAATTCGTTTTTTTCGTTTGTATTCTCTATCGCAAATATAATTTTAAGTATCCTAATATATATTAATTTTAAAATAATATAATGGATAATTATATCCTAATTAATATAGGAGATTAGATATATAATTTTGATGCATAAATACAAGCAACATTAAATCATGATTTGCAAAAGCAACGCGCATTTTCCTATCGCTACAGTGCAACTAATTTAACGTTATATCACAGCTTGCGTCAGATCCGTCTAGTACCAGCGATTGACAATGAGATACTACCGTTAAAATGAATTCTATTTATATGTAAATCGACTGATGACTCGGTCTTTAAATAATCGCGGAAAAGCTTCATTAGATGAGAGTGTATTTCTGTTGATTGTGAAACACACATTGAATTTTATCCCATTTGATGTAGAAATTACGCAAGAGATAAATTATGCAAGATACAGTAGACAAAATCTAGTTCTCTTGTTATTAATTAACAACACGTGTTTTTATATCAATTATTCTGCAATATCAGAGAAACATCCAATTTATTTGTCTCATTTATTCCTCATGAAAAATAATTAATATCCTCTTAACACAAAGTGATTCTCAAACTTCTGAACGATGTTTTCTAAGAAAAGATACGCTCTCAACTTTAGCCAAACTACAATAGAATAATTGTATTCTAATATATTCTGTTTTACTTTTTTTAGAAAAAATATATATATATAAAAATAGCTCTAAATAAAACGTCATATAGAAATAACAAAATATGTTTTAGTATTATAACATTTAAATTTCTTTTAGTTTCTTTATAACAAATGTCTGACGATTAAAAATAGTTCATCAGAAAACAGCAATAGTGTCATTAAGATTATAAAACGAAAGTAAAATATATTGCACGCAGCTAAATTACAAAAATTGTACAAATAGTTAGCAATTATGGCAAAACATGCATCAAAAAAGATAACAGATTTTTATTGTCAATTCCAATATTTGTGTATCAATTGATAATATGTGAATTGAAATTGATAATATATTAAAAAAATGTATATCATGTTAATATGATTTATATTCTTTATTTATATTATGTGTAGAAATGAATCCAGTCGATTTGATTCAAGAGTTAGTACTGATTAAAGTTAGTACGTTTTCTACTTGTCAATGGAGAATTACTAATTGCTAATATTCATAATCAGTTTTTGTGATGTAATTGTTACCTAATCACTACAAAGTAACCTAAACACTGTCAAAGTGATAACAAAAAGCGTTAGTATATATAAAATATATAATCTAGCTACAGTCACTAGCAATTTTAAATTAGTCAATGGACAATATCCAAATTGTCATTTTATTTTATAAAAAAAGATCTATCTAGCGCAATTGATTAATATATTAAGATGTAAGTTTTACATTTTATTAGGCAGATACTAGACAGACTGTTTTATTATGAAAGAATCTGACAAAAACAATAAACAAATGGTAAATTGTTCGAAATGTGATATATTTGAATTCTTCACTTTTATAAAATTGTTAACTTTTAATAACGTTATTTAGAAACTTCTTCATCTCTAGATAAACTGATCAAACGGTTAACTCGCAGCGCCAATAGTTATATTCGAAAAGAAGAAAAGAAAGGAAAAAACATGATACATTAAATTGTTTTTAACACTATTATGAACTAATTGTCGGTTATTATTGTAAAAATAATAAAAAAAGAAAAAACACGTGAATGAAAACATCATTCAATTTGCTTTGGCAAATATTATTTTGTGTTCTCATTTTCTATATAGTTATAATATTTAATACTAACTTTTTATTAATTACAATTATAACTACTATAATATAAAATTAACTTTTTTACTTTCTTAATTTTTGTTATTATATTTACTTCATATATAAGATAAAACGGGATTGTTATTCTGTTAGTTTCAACTTTACAGTGTCTAAAATATCTAGCTACTATATTGGGTATATACCCATATATTGCACCATTTCATTACAGATATTTATATTACAAAAAAGATTATCTAAAAAGTATTTCAGAGATAGCTAAAGTGTATTGTATAGGTTGTAGATACTGATTAAATAGATATTATTTTTAATAAATATGTTATTTAAAAAGTTTATTAAAACGAAAAACAAACAAATTTTATAGTTTGTGATTATATAAATAGTAAAAATAAATGTAGCTTTTAATTTTAATTAAACAATAAGAGTATATAAAAATATAATTTATAAAATTGTGCTTTCTTTTGTATAATTAAATAATATTTTTGGAAAATTATATAACCGTGTTAAGTAACATATATAGATACGTATCAATAATGTAACAATGGCGGTCCGCAATAGTGAGATGATCAATTCAAAAATCAAAAGTTAGATTCAAGTCCTACTAGATGTAAAAGAATTTTCCAGATAATTTAAATTTTTGCGTTTATTGTGATTAAATAGTGCACAAGATTTTTAAAAATATATTCATTCATCTCTTAAGAAGAATACAATTAAAAAATGGTAATAATAATAATAAGTGCATAGAAATTCCGATTAATAAAAATTATCTAGAGATTAGATATTCTTGATACAGAATTCTCAATTATAAAACTGTCTTGGGATTAGATGGAGAAGAAAAATGGCAATAAAGAAGATAAATGTTTTATTTTATTTTTTTTTATTTTTATTTGCTGTTTAGTCGATGTGTCCAGTCTAGGATAGACTACTTACTAATTAATTTTTTACCCCTAGCTTTAATTTTTTTGTATAGCTACTAGGAGAAGTGAGAAAAAGCGTTACATTACCGATCAACAACTGACTAAAAAACTAGACAACAGTTATGTAAGACACAATTTTTCTATTTCATGACTAGATAGGCATAAGATTCAATTTATCCCGCTGCAGTAGTGAAATTGATGTCTGGTATCGACGTTGTTGTTACACTTTCTGTTGTGCTTCTTCTACGTCCAGAATGTCCATGACATCCATAATGTTCATGATGTTCATCATGATGAGGAATGGATTTCTTCACACAGAGTAGGATTTCGTTATTTTTCAGAAATTTAGTGATAAATGATCATGTTTAAATTAAAACTTACAGATCCCTGGAACATTGCACACATTACTATCATCAAGACCAAGAACATCACTGATAGTCTTATATTGCAATCTTGCGCTGCTACTGCTTGCAATGTAAATGTTTACATCGCATCATGTCGTAGCAATATTTATATTGGTGAATAACGATCTATTTGGTAAAAATTGACAATGAATAATGGTACACGTCTGTTTTGCCATTTGTGTAGCTCATTGTCAATTAGGTTCCTTTATAATAAAAATAATTATTTTACAAAACATGGATATGTTTTGCATTCTTCCAAGCATATGTCGCTGATAAGAGATTGTTATCATGTATGCAGGCGAAAGTGACGTCCGATAAGCATATTCAAACGAATTCCGGTGTAATAGAAAAAAAAAACATGACATTCAAAATTCTAAAAAAAGACGAGCAAAGACTAATCAATAGCATTCAACAATATCGAGGGCCCTGTTTGCGTTATTTTGATTTAAGCGTGGATAAAAAGCCAGCTTTCTTTCGCTGCATGAAATTATACCTTAATAGAAAAAAACTTGATAATCGAAACTCTACCTTACGTAGGAACCTTATGTAGGAACGCGATAATCGTCGTGCGTGACTAGGGATAATGTGTCATAATGATAAATTAGAGCATGGCACACAAAAAACTTAAGCAGTAAAATGTAAGCAATAAGCGAATTAGCCAATCATTTTCGAGACCAATCATTTTTGTTAAACCATAAGAATCAGTAGCCATCCAATATACTGATTTCCTTACTGTTTATATTTTATATAGCCCTTAAGTCTCGTCTACAACGAACAGTAGCAATAGTGAATTAAAGAGTAGGCGTAGAAATCAATCAATCATAATTGATGAAGAGGATAATCAACTATGGTCGATCGATTTCTATGCCTTAATCCACTACTCATTAATCCACTGCTACTTTCCATTGTAGATCAAGTATTAAAATCTATGACACAAAAACATAAGGCAGTAACACGTAAGCAAATTGGCTAATCACAATAGAAACAT